TCTTGAAAGTTTCCGCCAGAGGCGCTGTACAATCCATCATACATTTAATGTCACTTTTTTACGCAGTCGACATCGAATGCGTTTGACGTAAACTCACACTACGCCCCCAGATGTTATGGGTAAGGTAAGGTGTAAGTAAAAAAAAAAAAGATTAATGCCCGTTTTCACCATCAATCTCTAATTTTTACGTGACACCTATGGTAATACATAACAAGATTTATGTTTTCTAGGGGTCACTTAAAAATTATGGATTGATGGTGAAAACGGCCATAAGTCCCGCTATCTTTTATGACCTACGGTCCCTAGACTAGGCAGTCGGGACTGACTCGCTCCAAGTTTCGTAATTAAAAATTTCGTGCTCCCCTCTCCTAATTGGTTTATGCATATCACGCTTTTTTCCTTATCTCCAGCGCGATTTTAAGGCTGTCCCTCGGTATTCGCTACGTGAATTATTTTAACTGTGTTGGGACTCTTGAAATGCTACATTAACTGTGGATTTATACGTAGGCCAAAGCGAGGTACTCTGGTTATTTCCCAGCGTGGAAATGATATTTAAAAAGGTTAGTTTCATAGGTATGTAAAGATTAACTTTAAAACATGGATTTGAATACAAAATGTAACTTGACCCGAAAAAGTCTCTTAATTTTTCGACATTTAATTTTGATATGCCGGTACTACATTTTTGTCAAGTCTCGTCCGAGAGCACTCCCCCAGCCTCGCCCGAATGTCTCGTGAGACAGCCCCATGTGTGAACAGGGGACCGAGAGCGCGCGAGCGACAGCGAGACACCCCGAGAAGTTCCTTACACTCTCGCACTCGGTCTGTTTCGTGTCTTTAACCACAACTCTCGACGAGGTGATTGCCGGAATTAGTTGTAAAAATTACTCACCTTTTCCAGCATGTAACAAGCTCTCCTCCCTGATGCTCCAAAGTCAAACCGCTCCAGTGCTCCAAATTTCCACTCACACACACACAACACACCAAAATCACAACACTAATGTCTTAAAAAAAACAATACTGTGCATAAAATAGTCTCGAATTATCACAATAAGATCGCATAATTTGTAAATCATGCGCGCGAACCCACGACCGACGCACAACTGAAGTTGTAGCGAGTGGGTGCAGATAAAAATATTTTTCTGACTACCCGCCTTAAGGCTAGGATTTACCGCCTCGATGCCGTGCATTCGTTACCTCAGCCCCCGCTCACCTCGCACTGACACTCGCGCTGACACTCGCGCTTCGCGATGACGCCACAGTGTAAAAACAAGCCGTAAGTTGGATTAAACCGTAACCTTCAAATAGTGAATAAATAAATAATAAAATTAAATATCCTTCGACATAATATTTTAACACTGCGCCTCTAGTCTCAAACTAAGCAAAGCTTGTACTATAGGATATGAACATATTACTTAAATAACATAACATAAATAAATACATTCATATTATGGTTAGAAAACACCCAGCCCGAAACAAACATTATTATAATGTTCATGCACACAAATGTTTGTCAATCAATAATGTCAAATAAAGATGATAATATTAAGTCAAACAAATACTTTTTACCGACAAAAATAGTAAGCAAATGATCACAAAAATGTAAACTTCATTTTAATATGAAATACTAATGTTCTTTTACGTATTGCTATTCTATTTAAGCAAATGACTCTAAATTAATCATTGTAAACCCAGAAATAGTAAACAATCCTCAAAACAACTTGCCTAGAGGTCCTCTTCTGCCCTTTTATAATTTTTAACTCAGATTCAAGCAGTAAACTTCTAAAATAATTATTTATGGTATCAATTAAATAACTGTATCGCCATCTAGTTATATAATTCAGCATCTTTAAAAAATTGTGAAACATCGGAATTGATGACTCGCCTTATATTCTTTCATCATCAAAAAGTACCTAATATTATCATCTAATTGTAAATTACGGCAACTATTTCCTCATAATTATTTGAAAATATAAGGCAAAAATGTTTAAGTTTTACAAAACTATGAAGAGCAGATATCTCGAAAACCATACAAGATATTATCGAAAAACTTGACTGAAAAAAGTAGTAAATGAAATGAGATTTCATTTTGTTGCAATAGTCATATCGCCAGGACGCATAGTTATTTATTTAGACAGTTTCTGAGATATAAGCGAAAAACCCAAAAATGGGACCTTCAAAGGCTGCGATCGAGAACTTTTGTCATTCACTTAAGTTACACGTGTTTTATAAGTTAGGCGATTTTTGTTTGTTAGGAAAAATGGATCAAAAAATCAAAATCAAAAATATTTATTCAGTTTAGACCACAAGTGGCACTTATGAACGTCAAAATATAGTAAATAATAAAAAAAAAGGTAGCCCCTATGGGGCACTTTACATGTCTCCTTACCTTTTGGGCCCTACCAGCACTTCGAGACAAACATATGGCAAGTGCTGAGAAGAAACGCCGGAACAAACTCCTTACGATCAAAGAATTTAAATCAAGTTTTACTTATAAAATGAAATGAAAAGTGTTTGAAATGTTAAAAATGGTCTTTGGTGAGTCTGCGGTGAGTGAATCAAGGGTTTACGAGTGGTAAAATCGTATCTAAGAAGACCATGAATGCATAGAAGATGACGAGCGCTCTGGACGCACCAGCATATCAACAACCGATGAAAATGTGAAAAAAACAGAAAGAAGTGGTTATGAAACACCGTCGAATCACAATTAGGGAAGATGCTGATGATGTTAGCATATCGTTTGACTCATGCTATGAATATTTTTTGGATTTTTGTCGGTATGAAAAATTAATTTGTTAGAAAATTGCTGAATTTTGAGCGAAAGTGGCGGCGAATTTTTGCTAAAACAAAACTGTAACAATGTTCCAATCTCCAAATTTACCGGAAATGGCTGTGTATGACTAGTTTCTATTTCCGTGAATAAAAATAACTTTAAAGGGTCATCGTTTTACAGACATAAGTGACATTAAACACGCGTCGCCGATCGATGTAAAGGCTATCTCAAAGATCGACTTTGAGAAGTATTTTGAGAATTGGAAGAAGCGCTAACACACGTGTATAATGTATAATAGGGACTATTTTAAAAGTTTAAATACTAATGTAGATCAATAAATAAATACTTTTCTGAAAAAACGAAAATTCCCGTTATTTTTTAACAGACTATGTATACATACATAGGGTTGCCAGGTCCAGAAACACAAAAGCCGGACTCTGTGCTTCATTTGGCCGGACATTTTACTTTAAAATTAGTGTCATAGCTCACGAAGTACTATCATCATCGGTTGCCCAGCGCTTGATATTATTCCGTAGCTCGGCTTTCTTTCGCATAAAAAGCCTAACAAAAGCCAGACAGGCTGGACAAGACAATATTTGGCCAGACAAGACCGTAAAAAGCCAAACATGTCCGGATAAAACCGGACACCTGGCAACCCGATACATATATGTATAAATGATCTCATATTAATCACATTTACCAAATCATAATTATTTCATAATAACCGGTAATTATTCATAATTTTTATCACATTTACCGTAACATATAAATCAGGAGGACAAGTCATAATAAATATTGTTCTTTATAATTTGACGCTTTCTTTGGAATAGTTAGGTGGCATTTAAAAGAAGGCGAATTAGTATATTAGAACTTTAGAAGCCTCTTAATATTCCCGTGGCTTAGTTTTAAAATCAAAGGTTGGATACCGTGGAAAAATAATAATAATAAACTTTATTTCTGTATAAAAACAGCCTAAAATATTATTATAAATTATCTGCGGCTTGACTCATAATTTCCCATAAATAAATTAATTTTAACTCATTGGTTTTATCTGATATTTGGAAAATGTACTATGTATCATGCATGATTGAAAATTCTTAGCTTTCTCCAGTAATACTGATATTATTATACTGTGACTCGCCACCCGCCAGACAGAGGCGATTTTGTCAAAAATATTGACAAATCGCGAACTGTCACAGGAATAAAACTGACACGCGTCCGTCCTCCGTAAGCGCCACCGCGCGACTGATTGAGATTGTTCAAGCCGTCATGGCCGATTTTTTCACATTTTTTCATCATAGTAACTAAATAAGACGCAATAACAAAATTTTGAAAAGTTGTCGACCTAGAAAATACAAAGTCCTATCTATTAGTATATATTTTAAGTGTAAAATGTTAAAAATGAATATATGAGAGTAAAACAAAAAAGCCGTCGACGTACTTCTTTGGAATTTTTTTTTATCGGACAAACTATGCAATATCGTGTTTTGGAAAAGTTGTCGCCCTAGTTAAAGACATTAACTTACTCCTACAATTTTTTGTTTGCTAAAATATCTTTTCATTTAGAAACTATCTGCAAACAAAATCGGTCAAATATCGACAATTTGGGAAATCATGGCCTTAAAAAAATGTTGGTGATTTACTTTACACATTCTAAAATTGAATTTGTATTGCGGCATAGATTTAGATGTCACATTAATGTAATTGAATTATTTTCCGCGTCAATAGATTTGGCAGATGTTTTTTACAAAAGATAAACATTTTCACTTTGTAATCAAAGGTAATGTAAAAAAAACGAAAACAGGTTGTGCAACCTATTCTTTTTTAAATTTTCTTTTTTTTTACTTGCGGGTTAACGTGAAATGAGACGGTGGAATGGAGAAACAATCGAATGATTTTCGTACATGTTATTTTTGTATCAAATGATATTAAAATACACGTCATCATAATTATTATAATGGGAATAATTGAAACGTAACACGTATTTTTGTAACGATTATTTCTGTGTTTAATTTAATGCGTTTATTAGCAGTGCNTGCCTATCGAATATAATTCCCCAGAAGCAGTCATATTCTGCAAACTATAAATCAAACATTTTACATCTCCATGTATGTACCTAAAAGAATAATAAGTGTGGATATGTACAAACTTTCATTAAAATTTTTGTTTTATCTTAATTATTTTGAATAATAAAATATACCTATGTATAAATGTATTTCGTATTTAAAATAATTATTAAGACTACCTCTAATTATCATTACTTTCAGAGGGGCACAGTAATAGAAATATGTAGTAAAGAAATTAAACAAATAAAACTGTAGTAATATTTTATCTTTAATCCATTTATTAGCTTCTACTAAAGCTTCCAATCCTTTTCCCAGTTCAGTCAGGGCTTCAGTCAGTGTCTCTTCTCTTTCCGCTTTGCGTTCCACACAATGTCTGCAAGTTCTGCTGTTCTACCACCCTCAGGAATCTCTCAGTAAATGTCGCATATTCCGATCGCTGTTGAGACGGCGGTTGGAGTAACAGTACGTGGAGGAGTTGTGGAATGTTATGCTGAAAAAGACAGTATGAAAAATAATGTATTAAGTTTTAATGGCATTTGTGACATACCTAAGTATATGCATGGCATAACATCCATACAAGATAAAGTTTTCTATATCCGAAACAATCTATATATAATAATTATACAGTGTGTCCGAGCATGTAGTGATCAAACTTTAAGGGCCAAATCTAGGGACAATTTTATCGATAAAAATACTTCAAATTTGGGGCTTGACCCATTTATCTCAAAATTACAAGGATTTAAGTTTTTAATTTTTAGTTTTCACCTCTTCCTTCAAAAACAAGTGAAAGCGTGGGTAGCTTAACATTAATAAGCAAATATTTTATATCATGCGATAGCCAATAAAATTATCTATTAGTAGAAGTAGAAAACAGACACAAGTTTCATACATTTTAAGGGAGTAAGAATGAATTTAATTAGAAAAAAACATGACTTTTTTCACTTCTTTTTCAGTTATTTTCCAACACAAGAAAAACCAGGTCGTTAAGGTATGTTTTATTTGCATTGTATTATTAGTATTTGAACTATTCTACAAAACGAATGTAAATTTATTAGTCTACGTATATTAGTTTTGACGTAAATGTTGAACAAAGATACCCCTTCCCAGCGGTTTCCATAGTAATCGGAATAAGTTGTGTGATTCTTTCAGGCAGTGCATTTTCGCATGTCGCGTGCGCTATGGAAACCGCTGGGAAGGGGTATCTTTGTTTAGCAATTATGTCAAAACTAATAGACGTAGACTAATAAATTTACATTCGTTTTGTAGAATAGCTCAAATACTAATAATACAATGCAAATAAAACATACCTTAACGACCTGGTTTTTCTTGTGTTGGAAAATAACTGAAAAAGAAGTGAAAAAAGTCATGTTTTTTTCTAATTAAATCCATTCTTACTCCCTTAAAATGTATGAAACTTGTATCTGTTTTCTACTTCTGATAATAGATAATTTTATTGGCTATTGCATGATATAAAATTTTTGCTTATTAGTGTTAAGCTACCCACGCTATCACTTGTTTTTGAAAGAAGAGGTGAAAACTTAAAATTCAAAACTTAAATCCTTGTAATTTTGCGAGAAATGGGTCAAGCCCCAAATTTGAAGTATTTTCATCGATAAAATTGTCCATAGATTACGCCCTTAAAGTTTGATCACTACATGCCCGGACACACTGTATATATGACTGGTCTTTACAATATAAAAAAAAATTAGAACAAAATCATGCATTACTCTTTTAATTTCGATTTCGGTGGGGTTAATGAATCCAAAGAGCACACTTAAAAAACCAACATTCGTTGCACATCTTGTGGTTTGCTTTTAAAGAATGTTAAGTGGGTCAACCATGTTGATAAGCGGATACTAACCTTGGCCTTTGTTCATTGTTTGTAATGTTAATAGTGTTTAGCGCACGGCTTGTTCCTCCTACTGAAGCTGCCAACCTCGTTATGTGGTATTTTTATTTTGTTTAATGGTTTCAATGGTGTGTATCTCAAGAAACCCTTTGCTAAGCCAGGGTTTCTTTTTTTTTACATAAATTCGAACAGTTTCAACTTGGACTGACGATGGGTGAGAGGATCGTGCCTCATTTGACTGAAACATTTTAAATTAATTAGATTATTACTTAAGTAACTTAAAAATATCGCATAAAACTTTCACAAACACAAATGTATACTTACTTTAAGATTTTCTCAATCTCAAACATCAATAACATCAAACGTAAACAATCAACCACAGATTAGAGNTAGGTGTACCAGAATCTCATGGCAAATGGGGAAAATAAACTTTGTTGAGTGCAATACTGGGGAAATTGGATTAAACGATCTTGAAACTGTTTCTGTATTTTTTTTTTACTAATATTAATGAACATGAAGTACGAATGCCTACCTATACATTTTAGGTATGTGTATGAAGAATATTGTTATACATCGGGTTTTTAACATAGAAACATGTCTTGAAAAATAAGTAAACCGTATATTACTGTAAATAATTTTATTATGTATCATACTTATAACTTTTCACTTCATTCAGAACTAGAACGATTCTAAGAACTCCACTTGCAATTCTTGTTCTTCAATAGATGATCAAGTTAAAGAGGTATTTATACAGGGTGGAATTTTGTAATGCCACCTGGAGGGAAAGTACTCTTAAGTTAATACTGTAGATAGAAAATTTTGCTGAAAGAAAATATTCCTTTATTTTTGAAAAAAAAAAAGAAAGGGAACTGCATTCAAAGATATTCGAATTTTTTTCGAAAATTCACTACTATACCATACAATTTTCTGTAACATTATTAAAATAATTTAAGATTTCATGGTTTTCGGTTCATTTGATTTATCAAGTTTGTTAGAGAGATTTCATCCTTATACTATTAACCCTAACGATCGATGTAATAAAAATACAGTATGTAATTTTTAACAGAATTTGTTGGTTCGATTCCCGGGCGTGGCAAGCAAATTTTTGGAAATGTTTGAATGCAGCTCTATTTTTTTTTCAAATAAAGGAATGTTTTCTTGAGAAAAAAATTCTATCTACAATATAAGAGTACTTTCCCTCCAGGTGGCATTACAAAATTCCATCCTGTATAATATAAATCGCTCTTTCAGCATTTCAATTACTCAAACTTGCTTATTGAAATCTTTTTCAATTTTCTTTACATAGTCATAACTTTTTCACTATTCCTCTGCACCAATGTATGAAATACACCTGCCCCCCTAGACAAAACGCACTTTTGATCGAATCGAAAATCGAATCCGTCAAAACTCCATACAAAAAAGGGGCTTTTCGACCACTTTTCGACTGGTTTGCGATTTTATTTTGCACTTTGTCTAGACCTACTGAAAACCCCATAAAGCAGCTATTAGGTAAGAATAATATTAGTTCAAAATAAACTGCTGTGTATACAGAATAATATAAAAATAAACAACCCTCTTTCTGACGCAGTTAGGTAATAAACTAAATGTATCAAAACATTTCACTCCAACTGACTGTCAACTCAACGACGCGCTTTAAAATCAAAGATTGACTTTGAATTATGCCATATTTTACCATACACATTGAAAACAATATGATTTGCTTGAGCTTTTTCGATTTTTTCACAAAAATAACAAATAGGCATGAAGAGATTACAAAATTTCTGCAGCGGCTGACAGATCTCTTGATTTACTTTGACAGGTGACAATAGAGCCATAGACAATGGCCATATGAAAAACACACTTTTCCAATATTTTTGTTTGCCATGAGATTCTGGTACACCTATACCTCTAATTATCATTACTTTCTGAGGGGCACAGTAATAGAAATATGTAGTAAAGAAATTAAACAAATAAAGCTGTAGTAATATTTTATCTTTAATCCATTTATTAGCTTCTGCTAAAGCTTCCAATCCTTTTCCCAGTTCAGTCAGGGCTTCAGTCAGTGTCTCTTCTCTTTCCGCTTTGCGTTCCACACAATGTCTGCAAGTTCTGCTGTTCTACCACCCTCAGGAATCTCTCAGTAAATGTCGCATATTCCGATCGCTGTTGAGACGGCGGTTGGAGTAACAGTACGTGGAGGAGTTGTGGAATGTTATGCTGAAAAAGACAGTATGAAAAATAATGTATTAAGTTTTAATGGCATTTGTGACATAAGTATGTGCATGGCATAACATCCATACAAGATAAAGTTTTCTATATCCGAAACAATCTATATATAATAATTATATATATGACTGAATCATGCATTACTCTTTTAATTTCGATTTCGGTGGGGTTAATGAATCCAACGAGCACACTTAAAAAACCAACATTCGTTGCACATCTTGTGGTTTGCTTTTAAAGAATGTTAAGTGGGTCAACCATGTTGATAAGCGGATACTAACCTTGGCCTTTGTTCATTGTTTGTAATGTTTATAGTGTTTAGCGCACGGCTTGTTCCTCCTACTGAAGCTGCCAACCTCGTTATGTGGTATTTTTATTCTGTTAAATGGCTTCAATGGTGTGTATCTCAAGAAACCCTTTGCTAAGCCAGGGTTTCTTTTTTTTTACATAAATTCGAACAGTTTCAACTTGGACTGACGATGGGTGAGAGGATCGTGCCTCATTTGACTGAAACATTTTAAATTAATTAGATTATTACTTAAGTAACTTAAAAATATCGTATAAAACTTTCACAAACACAAATGTATACTTACTTTAAGATTTTCTCAATCTCAAACATCATTAACATCAAACGTAAACAATCAACAAGTAAATTTGACATTTTGTTTCGTTCGTAACAGCACAGATTATGTAGGTATATGCTATGAATTAGAGATTTCTAGTTTTTAACGTAAAATCTGCCTTAATTTGTTCAGATTATGACATTTAAGTTAAAGAAATAAATAATGACTTCAAGTTTTGTGCCAAAATCCCAATATTTTAAATAAAAAACTTGAATCGAAAAACTCGACTAACATTTTTGTTGCGTGTGTCAATCCCTAGGCCGCCTCACTGTCCACTTCTCATCACTCGCGCTGAGAAATGTTTACAGAATGCCGAATCAAGGTCATTTTGTAACTTAAGTGAAGGGACTCTGGACATCGTTGGGTGAAGGGAGTTTTTGTTAGAATTTTATAGAATCGACATGAAGCTCAATATGAGTTAACAAGATGTTATTAAAACTGGACGGGCGTCCATTCGGCACACATAGTGTTTAGTTTCCAGTTGAATTTATTGTATGAACTTGATACATTACTATGTGTCGATACATTTCCCCCCTTACCTACTAATAAAAAGTTACACACTTCTTGAATACTGTTTTAAAATGTCATTTCCATACTAAACGTCACTTTATAACACTGTTCAACGAGTGTATAATTTTTATTATGGGTAACTTTATATTTTTAACTAGCGGCCGCCCGCGACTTCGTACTCATGGATCTCGTTTTACCCCCTTCATCTATCTAACGCGGTTTAGATTTTTTCATACAAATGTTTTTTCCCGCTAACTCCCGTTCCCGTGGGAATTTTGCAATATCCTGTTGTAACTAAGCTTTAAGTTTACTAAGGTACCTGCATGCCAAATTTCAAGCGTCTAACTTAAGCGGTTTAGATTTTTTATACAAAAGAATTTTCCCGCTAATTCCCGTTCCCGTGGGAATTCCTAAGTATCCTATAACCTGCCCAATAGTATGAAGAATAACTGTACCAAGTTTTGTTTAAATCCGTCGAGTAGATTTTGTTTCTTTAAGGAACATACAGACAGACAGACAGACAGACAAACAAAAGTTTTACTGATTGCATTTTTGGCATCAGTATCGATCACTAATCACCCCCTGATAATTATTTTGAAAATATATTTCATGTACAGAATTGACCTCTCTACAGATTTATTATAAGTATAGATAGATTAGAGCCATTGTCAATTTCACTTGGTCTTATTGGTTTACAAGATTGCCAACATCTATTGCTACAGACTATAAATGTAACTACGGCATATAGGGACCTGTTAAATGGTTTTTAGATTGGTTCAAGCCTTCGTATGTATTTGTCAGCCGAATTGCACTCGAGGGAAATTGATCCTTCGAAACCTCTACTTTCAAATTAGACTTCGAATTTAAGACTTAAATTTTCCCTCAGAACTAGCTTAGCTTTAGCTTCGTTGGGTTTTATTGGCGGTCAAATTGTAAAGACATTACGAATTTTTATAAGCTTTTGTGCAAAGCGAACTTTATGTATTTATGATAAGGTCTAACATCGATTGACAAAAATACAGTTTGTGGTGACTTGATGTGCTATTGTCTGAATGAAATTTTTAACAGTATTCTACCTTCTAATAAGTCTACCACTCATTGCCATAGAGATACATAGAATACTTACCCAAGGTCTCCGTAGCGTAGACGTTAGTGAAGTCTGCTGGCAACCGCAAGATCGTGGGTTCAACTCCCACCTGATTCTTCAACCACACCAAACACGTGCAGATTGGCATCGCCGGCGCGATCACCAATGACAGGTCGCGCGGACTGTCATGGGTCACACGACCTGTCATTGGCCTATGATCGTGCTGGCGATGGCGATCTGCACGCGTTGATGTGGTTGAAGCTTGAGGCAGTCTGTTCGCGCTGCTACATCAGCGCCACCAGCGACGCTAGCGCCCCCTATCATAATCAAGCATGCTCCATAGAAAGAGGTCTATGGAGCCGAGAGAATTTTGTCTATGCGACGACCGCCAACCGAAGCGTCGCTTCCATTTTTTACCGCCAACAAGAAAGGCTTTATTTTTGTAATGTACCTATAATATTGTTTAAACCTAAGTAAACTCCAATGTTCACCGAAGAATGGCTTCTTATTGAAAAGGCCCCTATTTCGAGAATCTACAAACTATAATCCTAAGCTCCAACACAGTCTATTAGTGTATGTAGCTCCATTATTTATTAAAATTTAAGTAAGAAAGACAAGTCTACAAGTTTAAGAAATGTCGAACGACGCAGTAAAGAGCAGGGTGATGTTTTTCCAACAAAACTCCTCCACAGATTGACGCGCAATTTTGTATCGAACACGTTCTTTGTAACAACTTGTGTGTGACATTTCAACTTTTACGAAAACAAGTCGATTTAAGTTAAATTGACAAAGTTAGAAATTATATAATTATGTTTCGAACATTTGGTAATATTTATAATCTTGATAATTGCATCTTAGAAACTTGAGATTCGAGGAAAATTTTTGGCTTTCATTTACATATCTTTTTAGTTCATTTCAATAGCAATTTAATGAGGCATCTTAGAGCTTAAAACGGTCTACCTGAAAACGGTGGAATTTTAAAGAGTACTTAGTGACTTTATTAGCAATTTGTGCACTAGAAATTACTCATAGTCAAGATGTACTACTAATTACAAGCAAAAAAGGATTTAATAAAGTAGATCTGTTATTTTTTTAAAACAAGACTCTCTCTTCGAGTCCATTAGAGACTGCAGCTCTATCAGAAGGGGAGTATAATTAAAACTGATTCATTTACGCAAAGCAAATAAAACGTGGATATCTTCACAGACAAAATCGTATCCTCTCGAACGTAAACAAGGCCAAATGAAAATAAATCAGCTCCCTTAACAATTTCCCTTTAAATTAAAGACAAAATAAGGAGCTTACTTTATCAATGTTTTTCTCTGAAGTCGCATCTCTTCATTTTGCTTGATTTATTTGAACGTTAAAAAAGATTCGGGGGAAGTGAAGTTCGAATTAATACGAGCCAAGACGAGCTAGGATAGTCATTTGTTTCTGTTTTTGTTTTTCATAGCTCATTAATTTGACAGGATTTATTTGCCAGCTTTGATTTTCGGACACTGATTTATAACGTTCCAATTATAATACGAAAGTTGCGTTCGGAGCGATAAATGGAATGGGCTGAGTGTGAAAGCATAAGTTAGGCAGGTACTCTCTCGTTCTTACCATTACAACTGTCTCTACGAATCAGAGGCGGCGTAAGGCGTAGGCGACGTGGGCCACCGCCTACGGCCTCGCGGTACAAGGGGCCTCGCGCATCAAAAATTTTGAAAAAATGTATACAAGGTGGAGATGACAATATCACAATACGAACATTGACTATTAAATATAAATTCTTGATAGCTAAACAATGTAGTTAAAAATAAAAATATATTTTTTTCCAAACAAATTCAGCCATAATCAGACACAAAATTAAGCAACAACACGGTTTTAAGTGACGAACATTATTCTTTGGCGCAATATTCCTTTAAAAATAATCACTGAATCAAGAAATCAGAAACTGTCAATGTATAGACCTTTGACCCTTTTTTTTATTATTTCATAAAATCCGTCTTCAGGTCGCCACAGAACAAGGCCTCGCGAAATCTGTCTTGCCCACATCAAATTTAGGTCTTGCCCCGCCTCTGCTACGAATTATAAAATAGATTGGGTAAACATGCTTTCGAATCAACGGTTACGTTTTACAGCTCTTATCTATTTTCAATCACAGTTTATTCAAGCCAGCATTTCGTTACAAGTAACCAAAATAACATAACATAATACCTAACCTAGTAAGTAATTTTTACCTAACCTAGTAAGTAATTTTTTCATGAACTTCAAATCGAGAATTCACGAGTAGGTAATTCTCGAATCATTTGATTTCCAAAATTGACTGAAAACCAGAAATGTAGCTATAGAAGCCAATTTAATGAAGCTGTCGACCGCTGGGTTAATGATCCGAATTCGATTTCGTTTTGGGGTTGTATTCCGAACGTGTTGAAATAAGAAAGAAGATAAATTAAGTATGGAGTTTGGCTATATCGTTGTACACTCAATAATTAAATAGCTGGCTCTTACGTAGTACCTATAAACGTAAAGAGTTTACGTATTTTTAGTATCCTTATTCTTTGACTTTTTAAAAATCGTATTTCACTTCCAGAAAATTCACCTTTTCCGTGATTTTCCAACATAATGATAAATCGACTTAAAAGGTAGGCATGTCTATAATTAGGTCGCAGAGTAGACCCCACATCGTGATGATTAGCGTAATCAATTTGTACCAATGGTTATTAGCCTACATCAAATAGGTTAATTTGGTACAATCCCAACTGAACTACGATTTAGTGACAACTTTGATGTATTGCTGTTAATGATTGGGGATAAATCATTCACCGATACCATTGCTAAATGCATAGGTAATCTATACTAATATTATAAATGCGAAAGTAACTCAGCAGACAAAATTCCACAGGGGCGAAGACGCGGGCGGAAAGCTAGTACCTACAAAATAAAAAAATCAATAAGTGATCGCCGCATGTCGTGGTTGTTACGATATAAATAACATATTATTATGAAAGACTGAATTAAGTAGATGCCAAACAGTGAAATAAGTTACAAATAGTGAAATTTTGCAAAGATAAAAACAAAAAGTTAAATACTATGAGAGCCTACACATGTCTTGAAATAATTTGCCCTACCTGGGCTCCGAGAAAAATTAGACAAGCGCTGAGAAGAAGCGCTGCAACAAACTCTGTCACTTTGCCTAAAAATTCCCCATAGATCCTCTGAAAAAGTCCCTCCCACTGAATTTTAAGCGGCTCTAAATCGATAAGCCTTGCCCCAACTTACCCCCAACAATATTTAAATATTCTCAAACATTAATACAGTTTGCGACAAGATCAAAAAACGTTTTTCAATTTCAACCAAAGTTTAGCTCAAAGGACGAATTTGAGTTTCGCGTAAACACTCTATCTTGAAAAATATTTGACTTCTGAGAAATGCTCATAACTTTGACTTTACATTTCTATTTCTGGGTCTCTTTCTCTTGGGTCAATCACATTAAGGCAGAACACGTGTTCACGTGAGGTTCGGGAGAAAGTTAAATTGGATTCTCTCGATGTGATGGCCGTGCGCGTGATTGTCGCGGAACATTAAGTAAATCGGGAAAAATCAGTTGCGAATTCTTCGTAAGTCCGTTTCCAAGACAATGCTAACAGCATTGATGTGTTTAGATATAGAAGGTAAGATAGCTAATTCCTCTGTGGTTAAAGATACCGGGTGAAGGTCGTGGGGAGGCGCGGCAATTTTTTTCAAATAAATAAAACGCTAAAAGACAAAACGTTAAAAATATCTGCTTAATTTTTTTTTGAAGCGCAGATGTTCCGGAAGA